AATCTTTTATACAAACACAGTAGCATAAAGTCAGCTTTCAGAAATTATAGCTTGCCTGTATACACACTCACGTGCTCTCTCACTTTTAAGGCTAATTTATATGGGGAGATGCACAGGCTTTACCATCACAGTTTGGTGAATTTTGTAAAATGAATATATTCCACAAACCACTAATGAGTCGAAAGTGTAGATTCTGGATGTATTTTGAAGGGAGAGAGAATGGTAAAATTTGGGGTTTGAGGGAGAGAACTGGAGGATGGCTTCCATGAAGCAGGAGAAGCAACTGTCAGCAGAGGTCAGCAAAGACTCTGAAAGGACTGAAAGGGAAATCAGGAATTGTATTTTAAGTAGGTCAGACCAAGTGAGACCTACTAGCAGACAAGCAATGATGTCTACCTAAAGATTAAGTGTGTAGTAAACCAGTATAAAATAAAAAACTTATTTAAATTGGGGAAAAAAAAAAAGATTTAGTGTACCTGATTGAGGCCATGGTTTTTCCAATCAGCTGCTGTGGCTCTGGGAGCTCGGCAGTGAACAAGGATGACTGAAGAAAGCTTGATGCCTCTGAGCTGTGGTGTGGAGAAGAAAGCTATGTGTCCCTTGGGCAACCTGAAGAACAAACACATCTATCTTGGAGAAAGTGCAGCCAGAATGATCCTTGAAGGCAAGGATGGTGAAGCCTTTTATCACACTGAGCCCGTTGTTAGGAGAGGCTGCTCCTTGGAAAAGGACATCAGGCTTGGTCAGCGAAAGAGAGGAAGACCTTCAACAAGACGAATTGACACAGTGGCTGCTGCACATATATCAAGTATATCCAATATGATAAGGGTGGCAAAGGATAGGACAGCCTTCAGATCTGTTCATAGGGTCACTATGAGTCATGCTTAACTCACTGGCACATAACATGCATACACACACGTATATGCATGTACAACACATGCATTTTATATATTTATGAATATATGTCATATAAGATGATAGAGATAGACTCTTTTTTATGTGTATGTGTGTGTGTCTCTCTCTAAGGTATATAAAGTGTACAAGTGAGCTCTAGTGGCCTAGAGGGTAAAATGTTGTACTACTAGCCCAAAGGTAAGTGATTCGGGTCCATCATCTGCTCCAAGGGAGAAAGAGGACAAGCAGTCTCCTCTTTTGTGATTTGTAGCCTCGGAAAACTTACTGGAGGGTCAGCTATGAGTCAGTTCTGGGTTGATGGCACATAACATATGTACATACCTATATAAGGGAATCTCGTGGCTTAGTGATCAGGAGTTGCACTGCGAACCCAAAGGCATGTGGTTCAAGTCCACCAGTTGCTCTGTAGGAGAAGGATGGACATTCTCCTCACGTTTGATTGACCGCCTTGAAAACCTGCAGGAGGGTGAGCTATGAATTCTGACTCGACAGCACACAACAACATATGTGTGTGTGTGGGGGGTGTGTGTGTGCGTGTATAGTGTCTTAATAGATGTCCACTGGAGGAAGATGGACAGTTTCCTCCTCTGTGTGAGTTACAGCCTCTAAAAACCCACCAGAGGGTCAGCTGTGTGTTGGTTCTGACTTGATAGCAGTGAGATACATACTAGTGTAAAAACCAGTTCTTGTGTATGTGTGTAAAATACAGTCCTCATGGATATGTCTATGTATCTTTATTATTGAAGTAATGGCAGACTCATATGCACTTGTGAGAAAGAACACCAAGAGACCCCTTGTGCCCTTTACCCTGTGCCACAAATGGTTAAGCACTGGGCTGCCAACCTTAAGGTTGAGGGGTCACATTTGCCATTTGACTTCAGAGGAGAAAGACCTGCAATGTGCTTCCATGAAGATTACATTCAGGCAAACAGTATGGGGCCATTCAGCTCTGACACACACATTAGAATTAAAATCAATTGGACAGCACCCTATAACAGTTTATAAAACTGCAGGAAGTTCCTAGACCCCTTTCTTTTTTTTATTTCATTTCTCTCAATTTCATCCTTGATATTTTCTCTTGCAATGTATTATATTGATTTGAGACAATTAATATGTCTCAATCTAATTTCTTTACTTTTATTAATACATGTATGTGTGTGAGTTTGTTGTTGTTAGGGGCCGTCCAGTTGAGGTATGACTCATGGCGACTCTGAACAGCCAGCCCGAACCCGGCACTATCCTGTCCTATCCTCATCATCTCCGACACGCTAGAGCCCATTGCTGAAGTTACCCTGTCAGTCCATCTTGTTGGGGGTCTTCCTCTCCTTCGCTGACCTTCGCCTAACTTTCTACCCAAAGTATGAAACACAGAGCTTTGCCATCTTTACCTCCAACGATAGTTTTCTCCAAGAAATGTGCTTGTTGCTTTGGCCATCCATGGGACATTCAGTACTCTTCTCCAGCACCACATCTGAAAGTTTAGTTCTGTGTAATTTATCACTTGTGTGAGTTCATGCATCTGCTACTCAGCCAGAGGGCTGAATAGTTCCAACACCTTTTATAACTAAATGTATTTTTTACCCTAGTCTACTTTGTATTCTAATACTGCATTGTAAATGTTTCAAACATTTCTTCATGTTCTTTGTTTAATTACAAGCTTAACAAAAATTGTTAAAAATAACATTCTTTGGGCTATGCAATTGAAGAGTTCTCAGGAGGAAGGTACAGTGGGTCAAGGCCTCCATTTCCCCAAGCTTCCATGTAGCAGAATTTATGCAGCAGAATTTATTCCAGTCAGATCTACCCAGTGAGTTCTTAGAGTAGAAAAACTCGAAGCAGGAGCCCAGTACAAAAGCTGTAGAGTCAGAGCCCTTGCTCAGTTTAAATACCCACATTTGACCTCTTCGAGAAATCTTTCCTCCGATGCAACAGAAGAATCAATTCTATCCAACGGTGCTCTGCTGCAGTCTCAGCTTCTAGAACTCATTTTTCATGTTATGCCAAATCAAAAGCATTTTTGCTATTGCTGCTAGCTCTGCAGACCTTTGACAGACAGTGAATGTTCCAGGAGACTTTCAGCAGAGTCTTAATGGTGAGCTTAAGCAGAGGTCAGACAAGAGGCAACTTAGCTGGTGGTCTAGTGGGTTGGAAGTTGTGCTCCCAACCCAAAGAAAGGTTGTTGTTGTTGTTTAATGCCGTCGAGTCGTAGACGACTCATAGCGACCCTATGAACGAACAGCCCCAAAGAAAGGTAGGCTGTTTGAATCCACCAGATGCTCTGCAAGAGAAGCATAGGTAGTCTCCTGTGCAGTTTACAGCCTCTGAAAAGCTGCTGATGGGTCAGCTCTGATGCAAATTACCAGCTCTTTCTCCTGTAAAGGAGAATGGAAGTTTGACCCCTCAACTTTTAGATTGGCAGCTCAGTGCTTAACCATTTGCACCTCTGGGCAAAGTGTACAGGGCTCCCTTGGCATTCTTTCTCACAAGTGCTTCTGAATCTGCCATTACTGTGGAAATTAACATGCGCTAGATGGCATTAAACAACAACAACAACAGATGGCACTACTGCTGGCTGAAGAGTGTATGGACAGCCACCAGCTGTGGTGGTGGTCCAACCCAAACAAAACCCATTGCTGTTCAAGAAATTATTCTCAAAGTGACCCTCAAGTAGAACTTCCCCACAGCTTTCCCAGGGTGTTAATGTAGACTGCCCCTTGCAGTTGATGAGTTCAGACCACTGACCTTTCAGTTAACAGCCTAACACTGTACCAAAATTGCAGGTATCTCTAGGCTGTATGTCAGCTTCTTCCATCTCTAGAAATAAGGCTCTTTTCCTTTCACTCTTTGTTAAAGAGCCCTTTAGAACAAAGGTTTGTTTTCACTAAATGGGAGTGTTTTACTTGGGGCTAGAAAGCCTAGGGCAATAACAAGATAGCAAACCAAGATAGGCACTCTATAAATTCACTCCCCTATTTAACTTAATCTCAAGGGAACTCCTGTGGCTGAAGTGATAAGGAGTTCTCTGTGTACTCAAGGACATGCAGTTTGAATCCATTATCTGCTCTGAGGGAGGAGAGCCTTTCTCAGTCTTCTCCTGTGTGATTAACTACCTTTGAAAGTCAGCTATGACTGATAATATATTACAACAAGCATCATAACAATAAGCACATCACTAAGCAAGAAAGCACAGGACCAGTGAAACCAGTCCCATCATCACTGCCAGGTGACACATCTTGATACCAGAAACAAAACATTAAAATGTGGAACATAGGCATCTTAGAAGCCATATGATGGCGCATCTTGAGATGTCTCCTAGAGAGGATGGGTGTCTTCTGCTTTCACAGACTCCATGTCAGTGCCTTGTCAGCCCTGCACATCTCCTCTCCTCTGCTCTCTTGCCCCTCCCTGTCTAGCTTGCCCTCTACTCTGCAGTAGCACATTGGCTCTTCTTGACTCCATACTATGTTCCCTGTGCCCTGAAATGCTAAATCCTGCTGGACTTTTTGGGAATTGTTTTCAGGCATATGGTTAAGTTTTCACAAGTATTGAATGAATGAAAAACTGAACCAAAAAAAACATAGCAACCTCGTTGATGCTGTGAGTGGGTGTGGGCTGAAGGAACGTGGGCTGTATTCCACTTTCTTTTGACTTAAAACTGTAGTTGTATTGCTCCTGTCACATTCTGTTGGATAAAACAAGTCGCAGGATACAACCCGGATAGAAAGGGAGGGAGGCGCTGTGTTTGCTGGCTGATGTGGTTCAGTGGGGCCTTCCAAAGTATGTCTAGCTAGAGGTTCCGCGTAGTAGTGCCCAAGGGATTCGTCTCTGAGTCAGTTCCCACTTGACAGATACGAGGGATTCATGGCTGTGTGCATGCTTTTGCATGCTCCTTTATTTTCATGCTGGTTCACTCTAGGCAATGATGATGTCAACTCTCACTGCCTTTACAGGCACGCACCTAGCTTCACTTAGAAGGGCATTGATTGGAGTTGTTTGTAAAACCAATATTTTTAAAAATCTGGTCTATTTCTGGTCTTCAGTGAGTGAAAAAAATTCTTTCTTTTTTTTTTTCTTTTTCATTTTAGGCAAGCCAATTTTTTCAGTTGATATTCACCCTGACGGGACCAAGTTTGCAACTGGAGGGCAAGGTATGTTTGCGGTGAACTGGAGGAAGTCTGGCACAGTCCTGCTGCCTCCTTCTCAGGAGCTGTCTGCTGAGCTGGAGCTAGAATGCTGACTCTTTCCCAGGAGAGTTGTACTCATTTGGTCATTCATTTTCTCAAAACTCTCAGAGGGGTTCAACTCAGTTGGAAGGAGGGCACCATGGACAGATAGAAATGATTCCATTGGGTGACACTGTCATCCATAGTCTTGTCAGTGTGGTTCATCTCACGTCAGCCACAATATTGTAATAACTTGTCTCTACTTGGAAAGATAGTTTTTTCAGGCCAGGACACCAAGATGTATATTTGGTGGCACAATGTAGCAGTCACCAGATAGTTCAGACCCACGTGGTCTTCCTCCTACAGCAGGGTCTCCCTTGGCTGAGGCCAAAATCGCCTTGCACAGTACCTGGAAAGGGCCTTTGTGAATTCTGGTCCTCAGGCCAGGTGTTGCAGGGGGAGTGGGCCTTAGACTGTCCTGGAGGGCAGGGAGAAGGAAGCGAGTACAGGGAGGGCGCTATTGTATTGTTTCCCTGGGGACTAGAAACTGTACCCGAGAGGAGCTCACAGTATGGGAAGAGGGTCTGGACCAGCTGAGGGAGAACGAAGAGCTTTCTCCTTGTCAACAAGAAGTACCTTTACTGCAATAAGCTGTACTACAATTCTGGATGCACGTGGTTCAAGTCCACCAGATGCTCCACTGGAGAAGGAGGGGCAATCTCCTGTGCCAGGCGGATCTGACTCAATGGTATACAGAAACAACAACAACAAAAGATTTAAAATATACTAGTGAAATAATTTTTCTTTTACTTTTCAAAGAGAAGTGTGCGAACTGGAGGGAGGGGTGGGCAGGGAGAAAAATGCAACAATGAATTTATGGAAATCCAAAATCTCTGTAAATGTTCATTAAAAATGATTTTTAAAAAATTAGAAAAGAAAGAAAAAGATTCAAAATAACAACAACAACAAAAAGTAGTACCTTTCCTGTCTTCCTCAGGTCCAAGAAAGATGCTTACAAAATCTCTTAAGACTTACATACTCGCCACAGATCATTCTGGCCACGCTCTTTGGCATGTCTGTTCAGTTCCTGAAGGACTAACTGAACTTTTGTTAGCAGTGGTGATGTTGTACCAGTGAGGCAGAACCAACCCTAGCTGACCTTCCAGCGGGTTTTCCGAGGCAGTAAATTGCACAGGAGGAGACTGCCCATCCTTGTCCTGCAGAACTGGTGGAGTCAAACCACGTGCATACCTTTAGTACTACAGCTTCTTAGTACTAGGCCACCAGAGCCTCCTTTTCTTGGCAGTAATGAAAAGAATAAAAGAGAACTTGGGAGTTAAATGCATACACACACACACACACAGACACGTGTGTGTGTATGTGTGTATGTTGTATATCAGCGTAGCACTTAAAAGCCACAGAGGCCCAAAGTTTCCTTTCTCACGTGTGTTTCCATTTGAAGGTGTCTGCAAAGGGCAGAAGAAGATAATGAGCTGTCTTTCTGTGTTCAGGGCACATTAAAACTTGAATCTCAAAATGTCCACCTATGGGGATAGTTAATCATGTTTCTAGAAGGTATTTTGAAAGTAAGGAAACCCCAGTAGGATTCATGCTTTAGTTTCTAGGGTGCACATGCTTACACCTAAATAGGTCCTGGGGCACTGACTTCTCTAGTCTCAGTTTACAGATGAAGTGTCCAGATCGTATGCAGGGACAAGGACCTTCTCAGGTGTCAGTCATGGATTCACATTAGAGACCTCCTCATTGCTAGGCCATGATTCTTTTCTTCAAGGCTGGTTGGCCTTTGCCTTTACTAATTCCATACTTTCTTTAACCTCCATGAGTACTTTGTTTGGGGTTTGTTTTGCTTTTTGTTTCGTTTTTTTTTTTTTCATCCTTTCTTTCACTTATATTGATTATTCAAATTTAGTCATCTTTAGATCTAGTAAGTTATAATTTATGAAAGCTAGGCGAGGACTTCTTATAATTAATATTGATTATCAGTATCACATGTCTGTCACGTTAAGTTATTTTTTCCCTTTCCTTGCAGGGCAGGATTCTGGGAAGGTTGTGATCTGGAATATGTCGCCAGTCCTCCAGGAGGATGACGAGAAGGATGAAAATATTCCCAAGATGCTTTGCCAGATGGACAATCATTTAGGTATTACAGAGTGGCCCTTTGCAGGCTTTGCGTGTTGGCAGAGTGCCCAAGGTTAGCACGTGTGTTTATAATTAGAAAGCTAAGGCCCCGTGCGGCGGTAACTCCCCTCGGCCTGCTGTCTGAAGGCACAGATGTTGGCTGCACACCTGGGTGAGTTATTCAGCAGAAGACTCGGCCCGCCCACAGAACCATCTTTGGACAGTCTGCAGGTACCTCTGGTGATTTCCTGCTCATGAGTCGTTACTGCCTGATTCCGTGGGGCTTTGGGACCAGTGACTTGGAAGCAGTAGGGTTTTGGGGAAGAAGGGTGTGTAAAACAACTCGTCAAAGTGTCTCAGACTGGCACTGTTATCTCCTGGCTCCCTGCCAGGACCTTCTTGGCCATTGAACAGTGTTGTGTCTTCCTTTCTGGCTGAGCACCTCAGTTTCTGCACCCCTGAACAGCCGGGTGACTCTACCTGGCTCAGGTTTCCAACCTAGCTGTCTGTCTCTCCTCAGTTAGCAAGGACAGGGCTTGGGATATTAGCTCGCTCTGGTCATCTCTCCCAACTCAGTCAACAGTGTCCTCTGTCCTGGGGCACAAGTTACTTCCAGGCCACATGTTGGCTATGACATTGATAGGATCCAGTGTATCAGATCTCCCAGAGAATAAACTTTGGCTGCTCCTGGAGCCCCTAATTTGGGATTTCTGCCAGAACTTAGTTCCAAGCACAAAACCAGTCTACAGTGTTGACACGTTTGGAAAGTCCAGAGTTAAAAGCACTAGACCTGACAAGTGGGTGAAGCAAAATTTTATGCTTTCCCAAACTACTTTCCTGAAAGTTCTGGAAGAGGCATCTCAATGTTTTTACCATATGCTCTCACTTCAAGAGTATTTCCTACTCAGCTATACAGTTTGTTAATACACAGCCCTTCTGAAATAGTTATCATTTCTTTTTCTTAGAAACCAGCCTCCTTGACTTATTTCATTAAATGCTAACAGGTTTCAGAATATGTATATTTTCCTCCTCCAGATTCTGATAATTTGTTATTACAGCACAAATAGGTTAGAACTTGCACAAAATTCTGTTTTCTGAGTCTCCCATACCCAGTAGATGAGTAGATTAGACAGATGAAATTGTATAAACCCTTTACATCTTGCTATACTCTGCATAAAGCAAAAATGATCATAACATTGAACGCACATCACCCTTTTTTTTTTTTCTTCTCAGCATGTGTGAACTGTGTACGGTGGTCAAACAGTGGAATGTATTTAGCTTCTGGGGGAGATGACAAACTGATCATGGTGTGGAAGCGGGCTACGTAAGCATCATTTTCCTTCCTTCACGTTTTATTTCTAGAAGCTTCTTTGCTTGTTGTATCAAAATTCCTTGTCCTCAACCTGGCACTAAAGTTCCTAGAGCTCTAACTTCTTTATAATAATAATAATAATAATAGTAATAAGTCCCTGTAGATCAGAAGCAGAAAGGGCCTGGCCGGGAGTCACGAGACCACAGACCCACCTGGTGACCTGGTCACCTGTCCTCAGTGGGGGCTGCCTTGGGGTGAGGTTCCCATGTAGAATTTCCACACAAAATGAAGGACTTATCTCTTCTAGTGCTAGCATTAATGGCGTCATTAGTTTTGGTTTTCAAATGACATTTCAAATGCAACTCCAGCAAACAAGATAATTGGAAGCCAAGGGGTGCAGATGAAATCAGAGTTAGGGGACCCAGAGTCTGCCCACTTTGCCATTCCCTTCATTCCCTGTTAGCCTGTACCTAATGCTATAGGGAGCCCTACTTGGAAGTCTCTGCTCTGCATCCGAATGAGCTAGCCATCTTTGGAAAACTACCTTCTTATAAAAAACAAACACTTGGAAAAAGAATTTCACAGGGTGGTTCCTTAGTAAGCTCCCCAAGTGACTGGGCCACCATGTTGGGGAAACATGCTGTACACGTTGCTCCGTGACCCGTGGCAGTGTCTTCAAAGGCAGCATCTTACCATGCCCTTCAGGCCTCCTGGCTGACTGCCTCAGTGAGCCCTTCGGGTGGGCTGGGGAAGTGTTCTACCAGAGCACCACGTGGTAGTGGAGGCCCGGAGAATTGTTGCAGTCAGCGTTCCGTCAGCTGGGTACCTGTCCCTTTGATTGCTCACGTAGCAGGACTAAGGACTGAGGACTTTGTGTGGTCTCTGTTTTAAGGCTTTTTACAAGATTACCGATGATGGACAGTGTTTGCTGGAGCTCCCCAATTTAAAACAAGCTTGGAAGCAGGAGTGGCATCCACTTCCAAAATAGCTTTCTTCCAGAAACTGTGAATTTGGAGAAATGATAAAAATTATACAAATGTTCAGGTCTTTCATTTATAGGGTCGCTATGAATCGTCCACAACTCGATAGCACCTAACAACAACTTTAAAAATACTTTTGGTTTTGCTACTTAAATCACCAGTGTAAAGAATATGTTTAGTATATAACCTTGAAAACAGAAAAATAGAAAAGAAAATGACTCACAGTCCTATCACTTACAGAAGGCCATGATTAATACTTTGAGGTTTTGGGGTGTATATTCTGATCTGTTTTCTGGGCATAGCTAACATCTGTCTTACATGTGTTTTTTTAACATGCTGATATCATGTTGTACAAGATATCCTGTGCATGCTTCTTTTGCTTAATGTTGCACTGTGAACTTTTCCCCAGTAGTGGGTAGTCTTTTACTGAGATTTTGAATGGCTGTGGAGCACTTCACCAAGTGCCTAGGCCGCTGTTTACTTTACCAGCTCCTCTTGGTAAACTGCAGCCCTGTTGACGGTGATGCTCAGCCATTGTTTTTTTTTGCCATGATAAGTGGCCATGTTACACTGAGACTTGCCTGTGTCCAGAGCCTTCTGTGAACGCTGTTCTGACTCGTATCTCACACAGGTACATTGGCCCCAGCACTGTGTTTGGCTCCGGTGGTAAGCTTGCCAACGTGGAGCAGTGGCGATGCGTCTCCATCCTCCGAAGTCACTCGGGCGGTGAGTGGAGGCTTCTGCTGAGCTGGAAGGGTCCCTGGCAGCTCATGCACAGAGAAGCAGCATCTCGTTATTCCTTGTGTTTAGGTTGCCCTCTGCCCTCGGTTCTATCATGTCCTACCTGTCCCCTCTAGGTTTGCGCAGTCATCAGCTCCCCTGCCTGTTACAGTGACCCTACTTCTGCCCTTGTGGGGAGTGTATATTTGTATCTTTTAATGTTGGGCTTCCTACATTGTGGTGTTTATCTTGATAAACAAAATCAGTACTTCTCTGGCGGATCACTAACTCTGTTAAGCACTCTTTTTTTAAAAAATTTTATTATTTCTTTTTTTTATTAAATTTTATTAGTTTTAATGAACATTTACAGAGATTTTGGGTTTTTATTCATTCATTGTT